GGCTCAGGCAGTCCACTCACCTCAGCCTCCCAAAGGCATGGGATTACAGGCTGAGCCACCGAGCCCGGCTAGTGAATTATTCTAATTGTAATTGTAGGCAGTTCCCCAAATGATAAATAGTTTGTGTTTTCAAAATATATATATTTGTTATTTGGAACCTGGAACACATTTTTCTGGGTCTATGCTCAGAAATTTTAAGTACTGTAGTTTTTAGTTGTTTGGAATGGCTAGGGGAGAAGATGGCAAGAAATAAAACTGGGAGGCAATCAGGTTATAATATGATATCTTGTAAGCCAATGTGAGAAGTTTCAACTTTAGCTAAGGCCAATAGGGAGCTAGATTTTGAAGGGTTTTAAGCAGAGATTTGCCTTGATCAAATTTATGTTTTAGGAAGACTTCAATGCAGGTATGGAAAAATAATTTGAAAGAAGAAAGACTCTATTCTTGGAAACAATTATGATGGTGGTTGTAGGGATGGAGATAGATGATTTATTAAATAAATATTTTGAAGATTGAAGAGGCAAGAATAATAGGGAAATATTATAAGTGATCCTAGTGTTTGACTTGAGCCACTACATATAATGGTGCCTTTAGTGAAAGTGCAGAAGATTGAGTTGGTTAGGAGTAAAATAATGAGTTCAGTTTTAGGTAGGTTAAGTTGTATGTGTTTATAAGGCATACAAATGAAGTTGGTATGGGAGAATGGTAGGTGGTGGGATATATGTATCCAAAGATAATGAGAGAGATCAGAATTTACATAGTTATGGAAACCATGAAAATAGATAAAATTGTGAGTAAAGAGCATGTAGAGAAGAGGTAGCAAACTAGTAGCCATTGAACCAATTATAATTGTTTGACCATTAGGGTATTGAAACATGCTCTGAATTATTCATTTCTAATGTTTAACAATGGCAGAACAAAAATAAAAACTTGAATTTCCAGCTTTTCATGAAAGGAGTTGTTTATGATGAAACAATTCTAGTCTAGCATTCCTGCATGGCAGTAATCGACTAAATTGAGTAGCAACTTTCCTTTTGTAGGTGAATAATGTGGTATTTAGTTTGGCACAGTTCTTATTCAACCTATTTGATTCATTGGCAATATCTGCCTGGCTCCTGTAGGCTTTTGAATTTATGACAACATTTTATATGGAACTAGATGGTTGTCTAGGACAGAATACTAAGGAATACCAATGTTTTAGATATGGGAAAGTAATGAAGAGTCCACAATGGAAACTATCAAGAAACCTACTGTGGTGAATAGGAGAAAGAGAAATAGTGATAAGTAGAATTGCTGGGCATGTTTAGGTGGCTAATACATAAATTTAAGTTCATTGATAATTCTATCTAAAGTAATTTTTGTGTAATTTTCAGAATCCAGGGTACACAGATGCCTTTTTTTTTTTTTTTTTTTTTTAGGTCAATTTCTCATGACCATAAATTTTGCCAGGAGTGCATTGTGGATTTTAGATGTTTAATGTTAGGGGAAAAGTCAGAAGAAATATACCAAAATGTTAGTATTCGTTAACTCTAGGCAGTGAAATAACGTGAAAGTTTTTTCATCTTAACTTTTGATGTCTTCTGTTTGTACAAATAATATTTTTTCTGTAGTCTTAAAAAGTCACTACAAATAACAGAAGTTTAATGCTAGATTATTTTCTGAACTAGAGTTTAGATTATTTTCTGAACTAAATGGGAGAGTCTTGCATATGATCTAACTAGTGTTTCCTAAGATATATTTAAGTGATTTCCTTAATATAATCAATGTGAAGGACTAAAAGGACCAAGAATTTTGTAAAATACTGAAGGTTTGCAGTGCTTGTTTGCATAGTACCGGTTCTAAGAAGTTCTGTAGGAGAACAAAAAAGTATTTAACTTTGTTTAGTTCAAGGGTTTGTTGTTTTTTAAAATATGGAATACTTTATGTGAAACAGTTCATATTTCCATTTTAGTAAAAGTTGGTATAATCATACTGAAGCGACAAAGAGAAGTTTGAAGTTTGTTAGTTATTACTAGTGTCTGAAGGCTCCTTTAAGGTCATTGTTCCTTATTAGAGACATTTATACTTTTATAGAACACTTCATTTATGTATAGAGGTTATGTTACATATAAATGTAGAAAGAAGTGCAGAAAGCTCTGTAAACTTTTTTTGAAGTCTTGTTTAATTTCTTTTCTTCCTGCATATATTCTAGAATGCAGATAGTAACTCTGATTTTCAATTTATACAACAATCATAACACATGCTATTTTTTATATGTGTATTATGTTTTGCCATTTTATTAGGAGCCTTATGCATGTTATTTCTAACCTTTACAATTATTTAGTAGGGTCAGTGCTACTATTTCCATTTTAGATTAAATTATTTAGGATGCGTTCACTAATAACATTAATCAATATCTAATAAATCTGTGTTTATTCCTTTGGGTCACTCTGAGGAGTCAGTATCAGAGTACTTTAGAATTAATTTGTCATTTTTCTCTGATACCAAATAGTTTCTAAGATTTAAATCCTATTCTTGTTTTGTGCAGAATCTTTGATGCCTTTCATGTGTGCTTAAGAAGTAGACTCAAACTATGTCAATATGATCATAAAAGGGATAGTCTGGAATAGTTAGGTCATGAAGAAAGTCTGTGGAAGATTGTGCAATAATAAATCTTTTTTACCATCAAGTCATATCATATTTAACAATGACATAAGCATATTCAGTATGGCAGAAGTTAAACTAGGAATTATAAAATAAGCATGCCAGATGTCAGAGTAGAATAAATTTAAAATCAGATTGACAGAGCATGTATTCCTTTAACAATATGCTGTAAGACACATAATTATTTGTTATTTATTGTATTAAATAACCAGATAAATGAGACATAACCAATGAACTAGCTTTTCCCAGTGTGTCATTTTTCTGTAAGATGGCTATCACAAGTGTAAAGTTTTTTTAAAAATAAATTAAAAGTACCACTGTACTTTTCTTTAGCGACAAATCAGAGATTTCACATCAAATGAAATATTAAATAAGGTATGTATTTTACAATTTGATTGAAACAGGTTTACAACATCACCCCTGTGGCTGTAATATTCTTTTTTTGTATAAATAAAAATTCAATTAAAAAATTTCAGAGGCTCTTATCTGGCATAAACATATCAGATAATGAAGAACCTAATTGTTATGTAATCTCTGTGTTCAAACTTGATTTTAAAAAATTATAAGTGCTTCCACAGAGCTAGTAGGAGAAAGAAAAGTTGTTAGTAAAGAAAACCAAAAACTCAAGCAAATCTCTTAACCCCAGAATATTGGAAGTTTATTTCAGTATAATCTTAATTTCTTTATTTCAGTCTCAAACAGGTATTTTAATGTTTGGTTTTTAATTACCGTTTTGAATTGATTTAACAGATCCACCAAGACTCATCCAGGTCCAGTTGTACATTTAAGTGATAGCCCAAGAGATGAAGGAAAAGTGAGTATTTTGATACCATTATTATTGTTTTTGTTTTCCTCATTCTTGAAAAAAGGTGTTTCTTACTATTATTTTATACCTAATATCTAACACAGCTTATAGCATTGTGTTATATAAATTTAAAACTTGTTGAATTAATAAATGATTCAATGAATTAATTAATCATGCTTACCATGGTCCCAAATTAAGCCTTTTTTTCACCTAGAGCTAAAGTTGATATTTAATTCTGGACTTTTGAGGAAGGTAACATGTAGAGCAACTTTAATTTTCAAGTGCTCTGTGTGCTTGAATCTAATAATATGATTAGTATTTGCCTCTATTATTAGTTTTGGTAATGATAAATGACCAATCTTACATAACATTCATTAGCTAATCTTGATTTTATAAATTTGTACTAATATATAAAATGTTATCAGATTGTAGAAATAATTTATATTTATCTTATTTTATAATATGTCATTGATGATAAAGAAACGAAGTTGAAAACATGAAACAATCTAAAGGGGTTTTTAAAAATAAATACTATGTTTCTCTGAGTAATTTTTGCTAAGTGCTATAGAAAACTATAAGTTTTAGCATATAGGTTTGGTTATTTGTTTACAGTTTTTAAGGGATAAACACAGAATTAACCTAACAAAAATAGAACCTGAAAAGCAAACCCACCCAATGAAACAACATTGAATTTATTCAAAGTTAGCTATAAATAATTCATAAATGCAATGTAATTCCAATCAGGTATCATTAGAGTTTATTTATTTTTAAATAATTCACAAGCTGATTTTAAAATTTATCAGAAAATGAAATATTTTAGAATAGCCAAGACATTTTTGAAAAAGAAATATAGTGTGATATTGGTACAGAAGTATATAAGAAAACCGATGGATCTAAATATATATTCCCCAAATGGTTCATGCATTTGGGGGAGTGTTATATATTTTAGAGAAGATATTTCAGGACATAATTAACTATTGAATAAATGATATTGGACAATTTATTTTTCATTTTGAAAAGAATAGTAAGACCACTGTCTTATACCATTCACAGGAATAAATTCCAGGCGTAGAAAATACATAAACATTAAAATCACAAGTCAGAAAGTATACAAAAATCTTTGTAGGATATGAACTGTTACTGTGATGTATGGACACTCTTAGACAAAACTTTACAATTTTAGGTAATATGCCATAACAAGACTATCATGATAAGAGATAGGTAACATGAACATGCATAATATATAAAAAGAGCTTATACTAAGTCCTCATCTTATAATTGAATAGGAAGTCAATATGTAACATCTATCAAATAAATCAGGAGATAGCTATATAAATATTATAAATATATTTAGATATATGAAAAAAGTCTACTAGAAAAGGTAATTTTAAGAGTTGAAGAGATGGTTGCCTCTTACCTCTAGAGCATAGTTTGGCAGTAAGGAGGAAACAGCCTCACTAGTAATCAGAGACATGCAATATACCATTTTTGACCATGCGACTGAAAAAATGTTAAAAATTAAAAATATTAATTTAGTAATACTAAATAATTGGAAAGGCACTGTGAAATAGCCATCTAGATATAAGTTTATATAACAGTATGGGCAACTTAGCATTATCAAAATTTGAAGCATATATCTATTTTTAAAATTCATTATGACCTAGAAAATTCATTTCAGTATCTATAATATTTATATGACTAAAGGGGCAAAATATTGAAAAGAATGCAAATGTATTTTAATAGAAAATTAAATAAATTAATGCTAATACATCTATGCTGTGGAATTCTGTGTTGATTTGGAACTTACTTTAAGACATATTTTTAAAAGAAAACTTGCAGAAGAGTAAGATATAAGACCAACTGAACAATACCTTTACATTTGTACTTATATACTCAAATGCCCAAGAATAAAAGCCTGAAAGGCTATATACAAATCTGAGGAAGAAACTAAAGGCTGGAATTGGGGAAAATAATAAAAGATATTGTTATTTTTCCTACGGTATTCAAATGTTTATAAAGAAATATTAACTGGGGTTTGTGTAATTACAACTTAAAAAGAATGCAAAATACTTATATATGCATATTGGCATCAGAAAACTATGTCTGAGTTATGGCTCTACTTCTTATTATCATATAATCTTGACTAAATCACATTACTTCTTGTATATCCGTTTTTTTCATCAGTAGTCTTTTGTCATATAAAAGTTTTAATTTTAATATATTCAATTTTATCAGTATTTTCATTGGATTCCTGCTTTTTTGCTTCTTACTCAGTAAATCTCTTTCTGAGAGAAATTACAATCCTTTTTTTCTCTCAGTTTTCAGGATTTCCATTTCACAATTAGATTTTAATTTATATGTAATTTATTTTATGCTGGTTAGATATAGAATTATACTTTTATTTTGTACATATAAATAATTCATTTATTGGATAGTCAATCCATTTTTCACTGATTTGTAAAGACACGTCACTCATATATCAAGTTTCCATATTTGGGTAAGTCTTCTAGACTTTCTCTTCTGTTGCATTATTTCTAAATATTGTGCTAATAACATGCTTTATTAGTTATAATAACTTACAAAATGTCTTGATATCTGGTAAACTGGTCCCTTTTCTTTTTCTAAGTAATCTTGGCTATTTCTACTATATAAATTTTAGGATCAGCTTATCAAGCTCTATGTAATTATCAATTGAGATTTTGTTTGAAATTAGAATGTAAAACTTAGAGAAAATTTACATGTTTAAGAAATGTGTGTTCCATCTATGAACATGATATATTTGCTTTGGCTTTCATTTATGTCTTTTTATGTATCTTTATAACTTTTTCATAAAAGTCTTACCTGTTTTTTGCTAGCTTAAGTCTAAATACCTTATAGATTTTATTGTTCTTGTGACTTATTCTTCTTAAAATCAGTTTCATAATTATTTTGGGTATATAATATCATTGGTTTTTAAAAAATATTTTGTATTCAGCTATATTGCTGAATGTTTGGTTTTAATAGCTGTCCTTAGGTTCTCTAGAATATTCTATATATAAAAGCATAGCAAATATTGAAACATTTTGTTTCTTCCTTTCCAATATTTATTTTTATTTATGCAATCGTTTGTTTTGTCGATGAAGACCTCAGTACAGTGTTGAATATAGATGGTTTTTGTGGGAACTTTCTTTTGTTTTCAACCCAAAAGGAAATGCCTCCAAGACTTCAGCATTAAGAAAAATGTTAATTGCAGATCTTCAATTGCTTCTATGAAATTAAAATGTTTCCACCTATATAACAATATTCTAAGTGTTTTAAATTATGAATGGTGTTGAATTTTATTTAATGCTTTCTACTTGTATCTAAATGATTATTTCTTAATTTGTTAATATGTTGAAACATGTTAATAGATTTTCTAATTTTCAACATTTTTGCATTTCTGGGATAAATTTAGCTTGGAAGGGGAAAGCTTCCCTTAGAAGCTTGTTGGTGAAATGTAAGAAGGAACAAACTACTAAGGCTAAGGTTAGAATAGAATCAAGACAAAAATCATAGAGTCAGAAGACTATGTCTGAGTTATGGCTCTACTTCTTATTATCATATAATCTTGAATAAATCACATTACTTCTTGTATATCCGTTTTTTCCATCAGTAGTCTTTTGTCATATAGAAGTTTTAATTTTAATATATTCAATTTTATCAGTATTTTCATTGGATTCCTGCTGTATATATATATATGTATATATACATATATATACATATATATATATATAGTGTGTGTTTATAAAGAAACTGCACATTAGTCTATCAAATAAAATAGGGTGCTCTTGAACTGAGAAAACTAGCCTGTATTGGGTATAGTATTGAGTTCTGTATCGGGTATAGTATCTCGTTGAATTCTCTTAAATCCTTGGCTCCCAAATCCTTGGCTGCTTCCTTTACCCCAGGTTTGACAGAATCAATTTCATGTAGTGCTACAACTTCATGTAGTACTGAAGTTGACTAACTATATACAGAGTCTCTGATTCCTTTCATTAATTCTGAATTCAGAAGATGTGTCACAACATAAGGCATTTTATCTGACTTCTCTAACAGATGCTAAAGGGGTCAAATGACACAACTTTGAAGTTAAGGGATATCAACATCTCAAGGAGAAAACCCTTGACCAGTATTAGACAAGAGAAAAGAAAGTCTTTCTCCATTCCTCTCTATGATTGGCTATTTTGAGTTATCCTGCAAGTCCATACCAATACACCTGCTGAATTGTGTCCTAGTTGTGTCTCTTCTGCTTCTCTCCATAAAATAGTGATTTGTGTGATATCATCTTTTACATCTTTGCTTTACTTCACTCTTTCATTATTATTACAACCCTGAGATTGTACTTCTCTATTAAATATTAGCTCTTAAGTCTTGCCTTAAGCTTTTTTCACTACAGACCCCTAGTTAACATAATAGTTATTACAATTGTTCTAGATAAGGGATCGGAAACTATAGTTCATGAGCCAAATCTGGCCTGTTGCCTGTTTTTGTAAAATGTTTTATTGGAACATAGCCATGCTTATTTATTAACATATGGTCTATGGCTGTTTTCTTGCTATAAGAGCAAAGCTGAACAGTTGTGGCAGACAGACGACATGGCCTGCAAAACCTAAAATATTTATCATCTGGGCCTTTACATAAAAAGTTTGCTGACCCCTGTTCTAGATTTTAAACCATCAGAATGGGATTTTGAAGTTGAATTGTCTATAGTCAAAGAATCTGTTGAAGGTGACAAGTGGAGTGGTATTAAATTCTGTCTTGCAGTGACATCAGAATTACCTGACCAACGTTCTTCTGTGATTAATTGGGGTGAGGAGCTGCTGAAAAGATAAAAAATGGGATATCAACTACACATGGTGCTTAAATGATTCAGGACAACGATAATTATAATGATGATGGAATAAAATAGTTTCCTTTAAGGATGCTGTGTATTCGGTTTCTATTGTTGAAATAAATGATCACAAATGTAGTGCTTAAAACAACAAAAATAT